TGTCTGTGTATCTCTAGCTTTCTTTACATCTTCTTTATTCTGCTTACTGTTTCCTTCTGTAAAAGCCTGGTAGTCTCTTGGGTTCTAAAATGCTCTCCTGCTTTTTCCCCCTTTGGTTTCAGAGTCAACGGACAGATGTTTACTTTCCAATCAGGACTGGCTGAACAACTTAGTTGCCTGTAATCTTAAATAGCAATATTAGCACAATCAGGAAGCAAAGTACGTTAACCTTGGTATTTCAGTTTAAAAACTCTCCGGATGCAGAAGAAATGCTCTAAGCATGCCAACTGAACAAAAATAGCCATTTAGATTCAAACCCAAAAGGCGCTTGTTAACTCCTTATAGGTTACCATGAAGGCTGGCTTCTTCTCCTGATACTCCCAAGAGAGGACCTAACCCCAACTTGGCTTCCTGCTAGGGCCCATGTGAGTGGCACACTGTTGCACAAACATAAACCTGGCAGATATGCAGGAGTCGCCTCTAGCCCAGTGGCCTACAGTGCTGTCTCACAATCCAGTTACCGAGCAGCAGATACACTATTGGCATGTCGCTGAAGGACCTATGCTGCCAAGACAGCAATCAGACTATAGGAGGAGAAGAGAGTCTCCTTCCCCCTGGCTGGCTCACTGCCAGACCTGGGTACCTGCTCGCTCCGTCTCTGGCTTCCTTATAAAGGTCCCAGTGCTAGGTCCCTGGCTTCAGGAGCTCCACTCGCTGGGGGGCTCTGACTTGGCCTGTCAGAAGCATCCCAGGTAGTAAGTGGCCTGCCTCCTCTGTGGTACTGGGGGTCGAGCCAGGGGCACTCCATCACTGACTACATCCCTGCCCTTTTTTATTTTTTGAGACAGGGTCAAATCTGTGGGCCATCTCTGCACTGGTACATAACTGAGAAATGTGCTTTTGAAAAATATTCTGTGTAGAAGAGGTGAGGACAACCCCCATACTGACTGTCCAAAGCTGTGTGCTGCTGCATCTCCTGTCTAGTGCCTGCATCCCACTGTGGCCACCACCATTCCCAAGAGAAAGGCAGAAGGGAGGGCTCGCCAAACAACTAACTCAGCAGACTAAAGTGCCTACTTCGACAGGTGCAGGGACTGGGGTTTGATCCCCTGGCCTGCCATGCCAGCCCCGCCCCTGGGGTGCACTGAGACAGCAACTGAGACTGGTTGTGGTGTCACAAGCCTATAATCGCAGCCATTGAGAGTGTGAAAACAGCGGGATCACTATGAGTCTGATTTGTGTAGTGAGACCCTGTGGACTCTGTACTAAATACATTGAGAGAGAGAGAGAGAGAGAGAGAGAGAGAGAGAGAGAGAGAGAGAATGCTTAAAGGTGATAAAATCTACAAAGTTGTCTACCAAACCAGTTCCTCCAAAACTAATGCCCAAGCCTAAAAAGGCCCCTGCAAAGAAGGAAGCCAAAGTACCCAAAGGAAAAAAGGAATAGCTGACGCCAGCAAGGATGGGAATAACCCTGCAGAAAACAGAGATGCCAAGACAGAGCAGGAACAGAAAGCTGAAGGTGCTGGAGATGCCAAGCAAAATGTGTGCACTTTGGATGACTGGTGACTGTATAGTTTGAAAAAAAAAATTATCAAGTTTTATAAAAATGCAGAATTTTGTTTTATTTTTTTTTAAGCTATGCTGTTAGCACACAGAACACTTCGTCGTTGTTTTGGGGGAAGGATCATCTGTCAATAGTACAGGGTCTCCAACGCTGGATTGATGTGGGGAAGGCACCTTTCCCTGCTGGTTCTGAGAGACTTCCTCTTGGCTCTCAGGAGGAGGGATTCCCTGATGTTGACCCATGTGGCCACCTTGGCACAAATGCCTTATGTTACGGGACAGCTCCCAGTTATTTTATGTCCTCCTTTCCTCTGCCATCAGCATAGGCTTAACTCCCTTAAGCCCAGAGACCTGTTGGGATCTGAGCCCCAAAAGGGATGTTACCAGTGTGTCAGGCAATCTGGACTTGCCAGTAATGTTGAGTTGGTGGCCCACAAGAGCAACTGATTGCTTTTTCTAGATTGTGGATCTTCAGATTGGTAATTCTGCCATTTTCATTTCCTGAAAGTCAGGGTCGGCTTGTGAAAAGTTGTTAAACAACATGCTAAATATGAAATGTCAACCCTCACTCTAAACTTTCCCTACTTCAGAGCTTCAAAGGAAGACTTCATTGGATCTTATAGGGGGCTTTCTGATTTTTGATAGTCCAGCCAAGAAGGGAATTTGAAAGTTGTTGTGGGGCTGGTGAGATGGCTCAGTGGTCTAAAGCACCTACTTAGAACAAGCTAAACTAAACAAACCACAGGGACTGTGGTTCAATCCCCCAGCACCACATGCCAGCCCCGCCCCCTGGTGGGCTGAGCTGGCCACACACACACACACACACACACACACTAAATAAATAAATAAATAAATAAATATTTTTATTTTTATTTTTTTGGCAGAACCAGGGATTGAACTCAGACCCTTGCGCTTGCTAGGGAAGCGCTTATTCCACTGAGCCATCTCCCCGGCCCCAATAAATATTTAAAAAAAAGACAGAAAAAGAAAAAAAAAAGAAAGTTGTTGTATACTGTTAAAAATTGTGTGCCCATGTCCTGCCTGAAAATACTGTGATTGTTTATGAAAAGTATCTTTAATAAAGCTGGATACGGTTTGACTTGGCAAAAAAAATATTCCATGTAATTGCTGTACCATACATACATGATTTTTCTTTCTTTATTTTTTTTTATTTTGTGGAACCGGGGATTGAACTCAGTCCCTTGCATTTGCCAGGCAAGTGCTTATTCTATTGAGCTATCTCCCTGGCCCCCATGATTTTTCTTATATGTTTTTTTTTTTTTTTTTTAGAACCTGGGAATGAACTCAGACCCTTGCACTCGCCAGGGAAGTGCTTATTCCACTGAGCCATCTCCCCGGCCCCTATATGCGGTTTTGTAAAGCCAATTCTTACAGGGTCTGGCCGGACAGAAGGAACTGCGCTTGGCCAGAGTAGAGCCCTGGGGAAGAGCCGGGGCAAGCTCCACACAGCGAGCCTGACCCCCGACCCACACTGGGTCTGCAGCCATCTGGGTGGCCTGGGCTCCTCAGGGACTCTGCCTGTAGGCTACATGATTGCATCCTTGACTGACTCATCACGGGCTCAGTGCAGCTTTTGGGCAACTCATTTGAGTTGCCCTCTGAGTCTTTCTTCATCTTCAAATGGGGAAACCAGCCCCTTTTCAGTACTGAAAATTGAGCCCAAGGTCTTTGTACTGAGCTATGTCCCCACCCTTTTCTTAAATATTTAAATGCTGAGACTGGGTTGCCCCAAGTACTGTGAGCCTCCAGCCTCAGTCTCCACGTGTGCTAGCATTACAAGTGTGAGTCTCCACTCCTGGCTGAAATGGACCCTCTGGTTACGTGAGGACTCAGTAAGATGCTGCAAGCCGTGTGCTATTTAAGCATAAGGAATACTCAGAGCTTAAGCTGCAATGGTGGCTTTAGGGATGAGGTAGTTTAGATCTGGTGTCCCCCAAAGGCCTCCGTATCCAAGGCTTGTTGCCCAGGAAACCATTAGGGTTGGTGAGACTCACACAGGCCCTTGGGAGTGTGATTTCACAGTGACAGGTGGCAGCACCCACTGGGTCCCTGCTCTTCCCTCTGCTCCCAGGCTTCTGAAATGAAGGTTTTGCTCCACTTCCCTACCAAGGCAGCAGGGCTGAGACCAGACTGACCCCTCTGGAAGTATGAGCCAAAACAACCCTTCCTATTGATAAGGAGATTCTACTCAGGCATTTTGTTATAGTGATGGAAAGCTGAAAATATAACAAATGTCAAAGATAACACACAAAACCCAACTTGCAGAACTGAACATGGTAAGGGAATTTCCTGGAGGGTTCCGCAAGTAACTTTAGGAGACACACATGCCTTTTTTTTTTTTTTTTTGCGGAATCGAGGATTGAACTCAGGGCTTTGTGCTTGCCAGGGAAGCAGTTATTCTACTGAGCTGTCTCCCTGGCCCCTAATATTCTTTTCCTTTTTTTTTGTTGTTGTTGTTTTTGTTTTTAAACCAGGGACTGAACTCAGGCAAGTGCTTATTCTACTGAGCTATCTCCCTGGCCTCTATTTTGGAAAACGTCAATCATGTCTATCCTTGAATTTGCACAAAACCTTACTGTATTAAACTCAACCTTCATATAACTGCTGTCCAACCCCAGTTCACTAAACTAGTCTGATACGTACTGGCTCAACAATGTAAACATGCTTCCTGTTCCTGTAACAACACAGGGCAGGGTTTGGGGTGGTAGGCAATCAGCTCTCCAGTGAAGGACTTCCCCACTACCTGTATCTGGTTGTCATTTGCATACAGCTACTGTCAGAGAAGAGCCCAATGAGCACATCCTGTTCACAACACCTGGAGAAGTTAACCCAAGGCTCTGACCGCAAGGGAGGCTGGGAATTGCAGCTTAGTAGTGTGCATGAGGGAATATGGCAGTTGGTAGTTCATAGATGAGGAAAATACTTTTTCTTTTTTGCCGTACCAGGGATTGAACTCAGGACCCTGCACTTGCCAGGCAAGCGCTTATTCTACTGAACTAGCTCCCTGGGCTTGAGGAAAATACTCTTAACATGACTAACCAGCTTGTCATAATTAGCTGGTCACAAATGAGTGGCAAAGCTAGGACTGCAACTAGACTTGATAACCATGTCTGGGCCCTTAGCAGTCAGCCCCCATGCTGACCCACCCCCTTACCTAGACACTTGCCTACTGCCTATCTCGCTGCTTCTCCATAACCTGGCCTCTCCTGGGCAGATAGTGGGATCTCAGTCACACCCAGTCTGTATCACCTGGGACCATGACAGAAATGGTCTTGCCACCTCCCCTCCCAATGCTTTTGGCCCTTGCTACAGGCATGTGGGTTTGGAGGGCAAATGAGCTGCAGAGTACCACAGCTGCACCTGAGCCGAGGCTGACTTCACATTGCGGTCCCCAAGGAAGAGCAGACAAAGGTCAGCTTCAGGCCAGACTTTTATTTTTACAGGAGCAGTGGCCACACAGCACAGGAACACGAGTCCTAGAGGCACAGCCCCTGCAGCTGCAAGCCCAACAGGGACACTCATGCCTTTCTCCTTGGTCCACATGACCACACACCATCCACTGCACAGCCATTCCCACCCCTCCTCTCTTTCATGAACAGTCAATGATCCATCCTTTCAGCCAAGGGGAACCACTGTAAGTCTGATCTTACAGAAACCCTTCATGCAGCCAAGGAACTAGGGCTCTGGGGGGAGAGGCACATTGCTCTTCACACTCACTGCCACTGGCAGCCTGCTGCAAAGACAGACGGACAGGCTGCAAGGAGCACCATGCTTGGAAGACTCCTTCCAGGCAAGACATCACTGGAGCCTCATCTACCTGAGGCTGGGGTGACTCCAAAATACCTTCCAGTCTAGGCCCCAGGTAAGGTCCATGGAAGGTTGCATTTTTGTCAGAGAACTAAGGGTGACAGCTGCCAGCATCTGTGGCTACAGCCCAGGGGCTCCCGGACGGCAGCTGCACAGGTGACATGACAGCACTTCAGCTGGTGGCTTCGTCTAGCTCAGGGAGCCTTTCATCTACGCCAGGTAGAGTCATCAGCTCAGCACCGAGCGAGGGCTCACACATGCTGGGACTTGTGTGCTTTCCAGACTAGAGAATGAAGGCTCCCTTCTGTCCTTCAGGGCCCAAGTGGGCAAGGGGGACTTTTGACTTCCTGAATACCTCAAAGGCACCCAGTGCCGGGAAGACCACACTAGACGCTGCAGTGGGTCACCCCTGGGAGGAAGAGAGCGTGCCCTTCAGTGAGAGGGCGGCTCTACAGACTCTGGCAGGTGGCAGGGTGACATAGACGCTTCCTGGCCAGGCCCAGATGAGCTTTGCTGAAAATGACATGGGAGTTGCCTTGGGACTGGAGGACCTTAAGTAACAAAAATTCTCTAAGTGTCACCTGCATCATTTACTTTTCTTTCAACATAAACAGGGATTGGTTCCCTGGGTTTTGTGACAGTGGTGTCTAAGATTTTAGTTGGAAGGACTCTGGGGAAGTCTCACCTGGACCCATGTCATAGGTGAGGAAACTGCAGCTTGGAGGGAGGAACACTTGCCTGCGGATGCACAGCTTGTAGAAGGAGAGCAGGGACCAGGCACCAAGCCCCCGCTCCAGGGTCACCACTCACTGCTGTGATTGGCTCAGCTCTCTGTCTCCCTTACGGATCCCAGCACCTTCTCTCAGGACATGACTCTGGTCTGCAGCCAGGGCCAGCGGTTCTCACGATGGAGTTGTATAAACAACTACACTTAAATAGCAAGGCAGAGGGAGCTGTGGAAGTTCCCTTTCCCCTGAAGGAAACAGGACTAACTTTCTCTGAGTTTAGGATTTGTAAGGCACTGAAATTAACTAAGCTGGGGTAGGATAAAGAAAAGGGGAGATGAAGGGTAGGAAAAAATTAGCGGATGCTTTCCTCTTAGGGCCCCACAATGAGATCCTCAAGAAGCACAAGGTTGGGGACTGCACGTGCTTGTCCGCAGCCCCTGCCTCAGCTGCCAAGCAGCAAGGATGTATCCGCTGTGACCACACTGGTCCTGGAACATGAGAGGGTCTGTGGGGTGGGAAGCCAAGAAGCATGAGCCCAGGTGCTCGGGATCCAGCTCAGAGCTCAGGCCCCGCTCCAGCGGCATCCTGGGCTCTTACTGGGCTCAGTGATGGCAGGGCAGGCTCACAGGCCCGAGTGAACAGGGTGTGGGGCAGGACGTCACCAAGGACAGCAGAGAACTTTGGGATCAGACCTGGCTTTGGCACAGCACATCTTGGGCTTGCCTGCCTGACTGTTGCCCCCTGGGCCCTGGGTGGAGAGGAGCCTTCCTTCTCCCGATGGGGCTGTTCTGGCCAACTCAGGCAATGGTGGTGCAACTCCAGGGTATTCCCTTCATCATTCCAGCCAAACCTGTGCAAGGGTGACCTAGTGGGGAGGCTTTCTGGATTCAACCGCTGAACCCAAAGCATTTTAGTCAGGTGTGACGCTGAGTGGGAAGTAGTAACAGCTACTGTGTACAAAGTACTTTCCATGGGACAGACGCTGACTTAGACGGCAGCTTGCAGGCACAATCACCCCCTTCACTGGATGGAGAGACTAGAGCACAGGGGTTAAGTGACGCACCCAGAACCACACACTAATTAAGTGGCCACCTTGGGGCGGGGCTCAGGGTGGTCTGACTCCAAGTCCCATGCACTCTGCACATAACCGGATGCCCCCCCACACAACAGGATGCTGACGGGGCCCTCTGGGTAGAATTTCTGGAGGGGTTGCTATCTGAAAATGTGGGTCTGGGGAAGCACCCAAGCTGGGTGAAGGGAAGGTGCAGGGCTACCGCCTGCGTCTGTCTCTCCTGGAGGCTGGGCTCAGTGTCTCGCAGCCTTGCAGATCTTGTCGTATACCTCAGGGAAGGCATCCTGGCAGCCCAGCTGCTTGCGTAGCTTGTGGTACAAGGAGCCGTCAAACATCTCCCAGAACTCCTCCCGGTCCATGTAGCAGTCAGCATAGAGCATCTGGAACCTGCAAAGGGAAAGGAAAGGTGAGGGCTTGGGAGGTGGCATCAGGGGTACAGGGAGGTGACAGGTGCCTGAGCCACTCACCCATGCACATTCCGCACAAACTTCTCCAGCTGCCGCATGCAGGACCTGGCCTCGAAGTGCTTCACACGTGGCTCTCCGTAGGCACCGATGTCCACATACAGCTCAGCCTCGTCTCCCTTGGGGTGCACCAGGCCCGGCTGGCTGGGCAGGATGAATGGACACAGCCAGATGGGGTAGACCTGGGGAGGCCGGCGAGGTGGGCACTGGTGCCTCTTCTCCAGCAGGTGCCATTTCCACCCTCCCACAGGGGCCTGCCTGCTGCCCAGAGTGTTGGATCCTGCTGGCACTGAGACTGCCACCCAGGAGACATTCAGACACATGCTCATTACCAGGGCCACTGCCAAGTGACTGAGGCCTCTGAAGGGACAAGGCCTGATTTTACAGTTGGCCAAACTGAAGCTGAGAGGACAGGCATGCCTGGCCAGGTGGGCTATGGGCTCAGGGGAGAGGCTGTGAATGTCCCAGAGCCAGGCCTGCTGCCACTCACGTGGATGTCGTTGTGAAAGGTGTGCAGGGCTTGCCGCAGGCATTTCATGGGCACCAGCATGTCCTGTACCACGTGGTGCTGCTCATACAGCTTGCGCAGGGTCTCACCCTGGGTCAGCTTCAGCAGGGAGATCTTAGGGGGCACCATCCAGCCGAAGAGGTAGCGGAAAATGGGGTTGTTGCCGAAAGGGATGATATCCTGGAAGACCAAGGTTGGGAGAGGGGAAGGGGCCCAGGGCTGAGTGTGTCCCGGGACCAGGGCCCCATTCTATCCTTGACACTACATGTTCCAGGTACAACCCCAGTTTGGAGATTGTGAGCTGGAACTTTACCAGGTGGATGTGGGTTTGAGTTGGTTCTGGTATTTACCAGATGTGACCACCTTGGGCGAGTTCCTTAATTTCTTAGCATTCCATCTCCCCATCTGGCAGAGGGCCTTGTGAGGCTAATGACAAATCAAATGGAAGACACTCACTCAGTGTCTGGACCAGACTGGTGTGGTAGCTGTCACATGGCAGGCATCCCATAAGCAGAGATGAAGCCAGGGAGAAGGGCAATGCCCAGAGAGCTCAACCACGTTCCCTGAGGCCACACAGCAGAGATGGCTTTCACAGGTTGGGTGAAGTCTACAGAGGGTCATAGAAGCTCACTGGCATCTGGCATCCTGCCCACTCACCTACGTCATGCAGTTCTATGGCTCCCTCACCATACTCTTTGTCCATGTCAGCTTCACAGCAAGAGGAAACTTTGGCCCCCTCCTAGCTGAGGACACCCAGTACACAGCTGACACCCCATGCCCCAGCTCTCAGGACCCTTGAAGCCAAGAACACCCCTTTGTTCACTAGTCACAGGTGCTTTTGGAGCTGGGCGCTGGGCTGCGTCCTTAAAGTGCTCACTTTTGCATGCGTGCAGGAGGGACAGGGTGGGAGCTGACTAGGAACCAAGGAAGCCACAGGTAGCAAGCAGCAAAGGCTGAGGCACTCTCTCCCACATGCCCTGAAATCGCCATCGCTAGGGTGGGGCCTGCCTGATTTCCCCTGCCGTTGATGTTACCCAGGACAGCAATTCAGCAGACACGCTTTTCTTGCTCCCTGGGTTGTGTCTACCAGAGCTGCCTGTGTCCATGGTGGAAATCCCAGAGCACAGAGGTGACGCTCCCTGCACTTGCCCAATTTCTCTTCCCCAACGGCAGCCTTGGGTATAAACAACTGCCTGCCTTCCTGGAGATGCATGGCATACACATCAGCAGAGACTGAGAAACCCCAGACACGAGCCCCACAGCTGTGGCTTCTCAGTGCGCCCTGTTCCTCGCTGGGCCTGTGTGTCAGAGCGGGCACTGCTGCATTCCATCAAGGATGCCTGCCGCTGGCCTGCAGGGGTGCCAGTCTCTGCCTGCCGCTGGAACACAATCACATCTTTGCGTGCACATGGTGGCTCTGGCTACTGTTAGGCAACAGGGCAGAGAGTGACCACAGAGACTGGGAGACCCACAGAACCAGAACTGGTGACTCTTGGACCCTTGCTGCAGATGGTGCCAACCTGCTCTGCTCCATGCCCCCCCCCCTCACTGGGCTACTTGCAAACCCCAGTGAGGGCCCTTTGCACATGTCTTTGCCCTTCATATGCACATTCATTAGTGAAATAAACTCCTAGAAATGGAACATTCTAGATCAAATAGTATAACTTTAATGTGTCCTACTTCAAGAGCCTCACTGTTTAATACTTTCCCAAGCAAAGAGGACACCGCTCCCACACTCTTGTCTATGCTCACAGATCTCAGCCACCTCACTGCTCTGAGGGAGACTGAGGCCCTTTTCTCAAGTCAGCCTAGGCTGTCAGCTGAAACTGCTCCCTCTTGCTTTTTTTCCCATAATTTTATTGAGAGACAAATAGCAATGAGACAGTTTCAAATCAAATTGGTAGGTCAGTTTCAATAATAAACACATTGCATACTCTCTTCCTAGTGGTTATTTGCTGTACAAGATGCAGACACGATATCCTATTTACAAACACTATTATTAGAACAAATCCCTCTATTCATTAAGAGAATGTAACTATATATCTATCCTAACCATTTTGAATACAGATACAAAATGGACATTCATCTGTATCCCCTTTTTTGTTTAGTTTCATCATTTGAATATTATAGGTATGCTAACTCAGCAAAATATTCTTCCATAATAGTATTGGTTCTTCTGCTTGACTGGCAGTGTCAGAAATTGTTGACCTGAGTCCCCTACAGCTCAACATAACACCATGGCTTTACTTCTTATACTTCGTTTTTATACTTTTCTGCTGGATGGTTAAGACCAAGATAAAACAAGACCTATGCAACGAAAGTTGTAGCTTTTGGATCTGATAAGGTCAATCAAATCCCCTCAGGATTTATCCTGAGATCCTGTACCTCAGATTGTAGAATCTTTATCAGTGTCAGCCATGTAGATGAGTCACGGCCATTGCTTGGCCAGTGTGCTCTCTGTGAAAGCCTGAATGTTTTCTCTCCATGTGACTCTCCTTAGGCACAGTCTACATCATTGATCACTTTCCTCTTTGGCCCCATAATCTCCTTGATCAGAAAATTTGGGACACTACTGAGTTACATGACGTTACGGTACGAGTTCTCATATGTCCTGAATCTTAATTGACTTTGGAAGGCTAGGGCCAAAATGTTGGCTTTCCTTGAGGCCCTCCTTTTTCTCTAATTTTGGTCTGCAACCCTCTTGCTTTCTTTTTCTTTTTCTTTTTTGGCGGAACCAGGGATTGAACTCAGGCCCTTGCTCTTGCCAGGGAAGCACTTATTCCACTGAGCCATCTCCCTGGCCACCCCCTCTTGCTTTCAGTGGCTCACCCCTACCTGCCCCATGACTCATGCTTCCATCTCACAGTGTCCTTGAGTTCTGTGTCCCTGGTCTGCTCCTGTTCTGTCTTTGGAAATAACTGATGACTCCTCTCAGGAAGTAGCCAGGTGTGACCACGCTGTGCCTTTGCCCTGTTTCTTAAGTCACCCCAGTTCCTCCTGTGCTCTTACCTGCTACAGCAAAGCAGAATCAGCATGGGTGTATCAGGCCAAGCCAACTGGCCACAGTCCTGCCTGGGGCCCTCTCCTCAGGTTTGGAGCTGTCCCCAGACCTGATGAGGGCCTCCCATAAGCCTCCTGCCCATGGGCCCGGTGGAGCCTTGATTCTCCTGGATCCTCCCTGCTGCCCCCATACCAGTCCCTCTTGCTTCCCTAGAACCACCCTCAGCAACACTGAAGCACACTGTTCTCCCTCCCTCATGGCCGCTGGACCTGGGCCACTGCCAGTCTCTTCCAAAGCACTCTCTAGACTCTGGGCACTCTGGGGTCCTCTTACCTTCCGGAGGTCTTATCCTCCAATGGCCACAGCCAGAACTTGCTTGTCACACTTCAAAGCAGGGGACAGTACTACAGCTCCTGCAGACACAGGCTTAGAACTGACACCAGCCTGCTGACCACGCCCGGCCTCTGCCTGCTCCAGTATGAGGTTTCCAGGAGCAGTTTCACCACCCTGATTCCCTTCTGCCTTAGGCTGCTTCCTATGCGGAGCCCAGCTGCTGACATGGATCCTCTGGCTGGCAGAGCCTGCTGGGCCCTTCCGGAGTCTGTTGCCCCTTACGCCATCACTGCATTTCTAACTGCGTCTCCTGGCTCCCACCGAGAGCACTGGCCTCCTGCCACGGCCTTCGCTCCTTCCAGCTCAGCGTCCTGACTTCCACTCTGCCTGGCACCAGTGCAACTGCAGTCCCCTCTGTCACAGAGGCCTTGCAGCCTCCCTCCCTGGCTGGCTCGGACCGTCTCCAAGTCACACGTGCTCTACTCACTGCGTCACCTGCTCAGCCTCCCTTGTGCCTAGCTCTTTCCACTCCACTGCCCTGCCCCACAGCTATGCCTCTACCTGTGGCCTCCCTGGGAATTTCCCATTATGTCGTTCAGCAAGCCAAGGTGGTCTCCCAGTCCCGGCACTCCCCCAGCAAATGAATTTCTCTCTCCAGGGCCGGGTCATAGGTCATCTCTCAAGCCTCAAGCACCCCCCCTCACTGAAACTCTTGCCTCTCGTATCACTGCAAAACCAAAAGCAATCCAAAGCTCCCCCCATCGCCCTCCTGTCCTGTCCCAGCTACCACTCCCATGTGCCTGTGCTTCCACTGGAGGCCACCCCCTGAACACACCCTCACCTGCACTTCCTTCCTTTCTCCAGCAGATCCCACCTGACACGAAGCCATGCTGTCTTCTCTCCCACCCGAACCACAAGAACTCTGTGAGCCCTGCTCTGGGACACAGCCCGCTGGCCAACTGCCACCGCTTCCATTCAGGGCCAGCTGGTCAGGCTGGTCCTCACTATCTTCCTTCCTGTCTCCCATTCTCTGGGACTCAGCAATTGTGGTTTCATCGCCACTGCTCAAGGTGCCTGAGGACCTCTGCAGAGGTCCTCACGTGGCAGGAGCAGCGCTGGTCCTCTTCCCTCCTCTACACTTGTGTATTTTCTTCTGTGCTGGGGCTGAAACTAGATCTCACACATGCCAGGCAAGTGCTCTACCACTGAGCTGCACCCAAGCTCACCTCACTTGTCCAGAGTCCCCTTAGTTCTGGGGTGCCTTTTCCTCCTGGCACCCCTTTTCTACCCCCAGCCCCACTGGCACCTTCTCCCTCTAGGTCTCCATCCCTGGACCTGTAGGGCTTGGCTCTTGCACCTTTCTTTCTTTCTAAATTTTTATTCATTTTAATGAGAAAAAAGATAAAATAACAATGAAACAGTTTTAAAACAGGTTCGTAGGACGTTTACCGTAATTAATACATTGCATATTATTGTCTTTGTAGTAGTTATCCAGAGGACAAAATGCAGACACGATATCTTGTTTAAACAATATTAGTACAAACTTTTATTCTCAGTGAACTAAGAGAAAGTAGCTGTATATCTATCCTAATTCTCTTGTGCATACATATACACACACACACACACATATATACATATATACATATACATACACACACACACACACACACACACACACACACACACACACACACATATATATTCTTCCTTCCCGTTTCTTTTTTTCACAACAAAGCTGTCCTTTATTTACACTTTTGTGAAGTTAGTAACGCATGACTCTTGCACCTCTCTCTCACCTGCTTCCATGGCTTTAGATAACATCTGCCCACTTCAGGTGCCCATATTTACACGCGTGACTCCACCCTGCTAAACCCGATGTGCTGCCACATGAAGCCACTGCCTACTCGGTGTCACAGAGGCATCTCAGATGGACGTGTGCCAGACCGGACGTTTGCTTTCCCCTCCAGGCACTCCTGCCCCCGGCTTTCCACAGCAGTCAAGGGCACCCAGACAACCCCATTCTTGGGCCCCCAACCTTGGCGGTGATCATACCCACAGCCAATCTGCCTGGAAGTCCTGCGGGCTGGCCTGCCCCTCCACGCTCCCTCCAAGGCCTGATGCTTCTCCTCTTCCAATCCTACCCACACCCCAGCCACTCTCCATTCAGCTGAGATCTTTCCGCTTCAGCTCCAGCTCAGCAGCTTTTTTTTTTTTTTTTTTTTTTTTGCGGAACCGGGGATTGAACTTAGGCCCTTGCGTTTGCCAGGGAAGCGCTTATTCCACTGAGTCATCTCCCTGGCCCTCTCAGCAGCTTTTTTGCTGGTTTCCAACACTGTCAGTCCCTGTCGAGCACAGCAACACATGCAACAAACAATGGAAGAGTTGCCGGGCATGGTGGTGCATGCCTGTAAGCCCAGCCCTTGGGAGGCTGAGGCAGGAGGATCACTGCAAGTTCAAGACCAGCCTGGACTACAAAGTGAGCTCAAGGCCAGCCTGAACTGCGCAGTAAGACCCTGTCTCAAAAAGACAAAACAAAAGGAAACAAAAAACCATAGGAAAGAGCCAAATCTTACAGATCTCAGAGAAAAGCAACGGTAAATCTTTTTGACCATGCATTTGGCAACTGTCTTTTTTTTTTTTTTTTGGTCTTGAGACAAGGTTTCACTATGTAGTGAAACCACCACCTCAGGTATGAGGTGGAAGCGTGCCATTGCCCACCGTTGGTCACTGGCCTCTGTCTACTGACCCACCGCCTCCTTCAGGATCCTGCCCCCATCACCCCTACCTTTGTGGCCCAAAGCCTATTTCTTCACACATAAAGTGATATATATATATATATATTAGGATTGCAAGTTTTTTTCATTTATGTATTTGGTACAGGGTCTCACTACGCAGCTCAGACTTGTAGTGATCCTACTGTTTTCAGCCTCCACAGTGCTGGAATTACAGGCTTGTGCCACCATGCCTGGACTTGGTCACAGGCTCAGTGTGCCCTGGGGGTGGGGCCGGCACAGCATGCGGGATCAAACACTGGTCCCTGCGCTTGTTAAAGCAGGCGCTTAGTCCACTGAGCTATCTTGCTGGTCTAGGATTATAAGTTTGAGCCCAGCCCAGGCTAGCCTGGAACTTGTGGCGATCTTCTTGCCTCAGCCCTGAGTGCTGGGGTTACAGGCTTGTGTCACCACACCTGGTCTAGCAATAGCATTTTAAATGCCACAGTAAGAGCACGAGCAACCAAAGAGACAACAGATAAACTAGACTTCAGCTACGTTAAAAGGGCTTCACCAAGAAAGTGGACAGAAACATAGATGATATTTGCACATGATGCTCTCTGATAATGCTGATACCCAGAATAGAAAAGAACTCTGCCAGCTCCAAGGCAAAGACAAAACAGCCCTGTTAAAAATGGACAACGATGTGAACAGTTTGCCAAAGATACACAAATGGCCAACAAGCCCATGAATCCAAAGAAAATTAAAATCAAAGCCATAAGGAAGTGCCATTTCATACCCACTAGGATGGCTATGTAATGACAAGCATTTAAACACCAGGAAATAGTGTGGTGGAAATGCAAACAAACTGCAGCATTCACTCGCTGCCGCCGGGGAGAACAGCCGGGCGGTTCTGTGACACCTTACACAGAATCATCATGCAATCTGGCAACTGTGCCCAGGTGTGTTTATACCCAAAAAGCAGAAAACTGGAATTCAAACAAATACTTGTGGATGAACATTCACGGTGGCACTGTTCACAGTGGCCAGAAGGCTGGAACAGCCCAAACACCCAACAACAGACATGTGGAAAAGCCAAGCGTGGTAATGCAGTACTACTCAGCCACAGAAAGAAAGAAAAACATTACTAGAAACATACAAAGAAACACTGCGCAAAATGATGAGGTGCCAGTCACGGGGCACACCCCATATGATTTGAGATCATAGGAAGCTGCCGGAAGAGGCGAATCCTTACAGGCAGTCAGTCAAAAGCTGCCACAGGCGGGCGGAAGAGATGGAAAGACACTTCCTAAGGGTGTGAGCTTTCCTTCTGGGATAAGAAAAGGTTTCGGAACCAGACAGAGGTGGTGGGCACACAACACTGCACGGGAATTAAATGTATGAGCTGTCCACTTGACAGCTGTTAATTCTTCTAGCTCGTGGCGGTTGTCCCTCTGCCTGGGCTCTCTGCCATTCTTGTGTTCTGGTCCCTGCCCACAAATATCTCCCAAGGGACCTTTCCTGATCACCCTACCCCGTACAGGCACTGGCAGATCTTGCCTACCTTGCCAGGGCACACGACAGGCTTTCCCCGGGTGCAGAGCTGGCCCCTTCCTCCTCCTGCTCTTGGCTCTCTACAGAGCAGAGCCCATCTGCTCAGAAGGTTGACCCTTCCCGAGGCAGAGGCCTGCACTGCCTCCGAGCACCAGCGGTGACAGCCTGCTTAGGTCACTGTCAGCACTGCTCTGCTCAGGTCCCTCAGGACAAAGCTGAGGACAGGCCAGTCTCACCTGGAGCTCCCAGAAGATGCTGCGAGTGTGGCGGTGGTAGTACTGTCTCAGGGGAATGTACTCCAGGCCCTCCTGGTTTGTCTTTAGGTAGTTCTCCACGTGCTTGAAGAACCAGGGCTTGTAGTAGCTGCCGATGCTGTTCAGCTGAAATGACAGAGGCCACAGTGATCAGCAGAGGCGAGCACTAGCCACCCCCAGAGGGTAGCAGCAAAGCTGGCTGCTGGCTGGCAGCACGGCCGGCCTTTCCACAGCTGTCAGGTCAGCACCACCACCACCGTTTGAAGAGCAGGCAGGCCTGGGTGCAGCGGTGCTCCCTCCACACAGAAGCTGGAAGTGGTGCGCACAAGACTACCCCGCTAGCTCCAGATGGTCCAGGGAACCTCGCGAGCCCACCCCAGCCTGCTGCTGCTAGGCCACCAGCGGCGCGTGCAAATCAACAGTGCCTACTGTGATGCAGGGCTCCACGCGGCAGCGCCCCCAGGCCGGAGGTTACCCCTCACTGCAGCTCGTCACTCAGCTCTAGGGGGCCCCACACTTCCCTGATGGCAGCTGAGCCAGCCCTACAGTCTTCCAGCACAGCACTCCTCTCCTCGGACATGAGGTGGAAGCTTTAGGGTCCTGCCCTCATCACTCCCTACCTGTGTGGCCCGAAACCTATGAGCTTATTTCTTTATACATAAAGTAACAAATACATCATACTTATATATTATATATAATATGTATCATATATAATAGTATATATATTTATATAATGCATATTATATATTTATATACTGTATAGAATATATATATATATATATATATATATATATATATATATATATATATTATATTTAGGATTGCAACTTTGAGCCCAGCTTAGGCAACTTACTGAAAGACTGGTTAAAAAGAAAAAGGAAAAAAAAAAAAAAGCTTAGTGCAAAGGCCCTGGGTTCAATCCAAGTACTATTTAAAAAGTGTGTGTGTGTGTATTTGTGCCTTTTAGATTTATACATGCATGCAGTTTTTAAATAAAACTACAGCCATCGTGTGCACACTGTGAGTATTTGCCCTTTCCCTTACAATTCCCAGCTCACTCTGGGCAGGCTGCTTGGCCTCTGAGATCCCCACTTACTCTACAGGTGCTCCCTAACCCCCACGGTGGTGAAGTCAACACAGAATATGCCCAGCACAGGACGTACAGGATGAGCTCCCTGCTCCTCACTGGCCAACCCCTGCATGGGAGCCAGGCAGCCCTCTGCCTTGCCTGCTGCAGCCAGCACACGCAGCTTGTATATGTGTCACTCTCTCTTGCATCCTCCTCTGAAAGGAGACTGGGGCATTGCCACAGTGCACTGGGCAATGGGCTCAGCAGCCCGAGTGGCCCTACTGGTTCTGGTGTGGATGTACACGGCCTCTGTCTAGTAAGCACAGGAGGCTGAAGCCCACCAGGAACCACAGCAGCCTGAGCCACGCCAGGGGAGACCTGGATGCACACCTGCTGCGTAATGAAGATGAGACTCGGGGAACCTGGATTCCGGTGTTCCTGCCCAGACTTAGTAGGAACTGCTGAGAAATGCAGGAAATGATGAAGATACCAGATCCAGCTTCTCCTGGGGTGCTAGGGCAGCACGGGCTCCATGCCGGCCCCAGCACATCCACAGCAAGCCACTTCTCCTGGGTCTGTGGAGGTTGTAAAATGGACTGCTGCATCCCCTCAGGGTCCCGGCGTCCTTACCCTGAACAGTCAGAGGGTAACAAGTCTGACAGGGTAACTTGTCCCATGGGGACAAGTCTGGGGCAGCAATACACACTGCCGGGTCAGGAAGAAACACTCCATGACACGACACCCGCCTGCCTAATGTCATCTATCCCTCTACTGCCCCAGTCTTGTTCACCTTGGGGATCAAGGTCTTGCTTACTGGGCCACTTGGCAATGTGGCCTTGGCGCCTCCCTGCCAGAGCCAGGGAGATCTTTGGGAAGGCCCTGGATTTCTCCTTGGAAAGTAAGGGAATTGGGTAGGTGTTCAAACCTTTTAAAAGGAAAGGAAGCACAGAGCTGCTTTGGTGCGGTGGGGCAGTGGCCCCAGCCCTCTCCCGGCACCACAGTATGGACCACCTCTGGGTGGGTGCCTCAGCAGAGCTGGGAAAGCGCTCCTCTGCACATCCCCACCAGGTCACTACAGCAGGTTCTACAGGAGGGCCTGGTCAGGGACACATGGACCATGCCTTGGCCCCGAGCACTCTGGCTCCACATGCAGTGCTGTCACGGCTGCTCCTGGAGCTGCCCCTAGACCCCACAGTGCCCTGCCAGGACTGTTGCTGCAGACCCCACATGACACCAGGAGCTGACCAAGGGGTGAGCACCACTGAGCCAGGAGCCAGAGGGGGATTCAGACCTGCCGCATGCTCCCCAGGAGTCCTCTCTGGACCTGCTTCCTTGTTTGGAGAGGAGATACTCCAGATGATTCTCATGGCCTTCCTGGCTCTCAAATGTTCCAAGGATATGGGTACAGAGCAGGTTGTCAGCAACACCTTCGTTGCTCCACGAATTCTACATTAAGATATGCTCTAGCTTATAGACAAAAAATGTTTGCTGTTTCATTAATTAACAACGAGAAACCTGCACTCCCTCCAATCTGCACACAGCCGTGCTGGCGTTAGCAGAGCAGCGGGGAGGCCGTGCACCCCGGGGCCGAGCTGATCACACACAGGCAGTCTGGAAGGTGACCAGAACGCGCCAAACTCACTCACCGGAAAACTCTGAAAAGAAATGTTTGGCCTTGGAAGTAACTCAAGAACTGGACAATGAAGAGATACTATTTTTAACCTTGTCAGGCTGGCGAAACATCAAAGAGCAAAGAGCAACGCTATCACAAGCGTGTTGGCAGGAACAGAGGGGAAAGACCAGCCCACTGCTTGAGGTAGTGCAGGGCAGCCGTGTGCTCTCAGCTACCCCCGTGTCCTGTGCTCGTGCCTGAGCCAGACAGTGCACTCGGGAGAAGGACAAGCACCGATGGCAGAGCAGCTTACGTCCTCAATGCCGCTGTGTTCGTAAGAGCAGAGCAACGGAGGCAGCGTGAGGTGCTCATCAGTAAGCGATGGGTTAGACCAGTGCTCAGCACCCAGGAATGGGTCACATCCGTGGGGGCGCCTTCCTTTCCTTGCCCTTGTTTATACCCTTGAATTCTCTTACCAAAATTACAACTCTTTTCTCTTGCCTCTATCTTTTTTTTTTTTTTGCCCTGATGGAGGAGGGGTAAGGTAGAATGTATGCTAGGGAAGTGTTCTACCACTGAGCCATATCCAACCACACAACTTCTTTTTTTGTCTTTGTGAGATAAGGTCTCACTATGTAGTTCAGGATGGCCTTGAACTCACTTTGTAGTTCAGGCTGGACTTGAACTTGCAGCAATCCTCCTGCCTCAGTTTCCATAAATCCTTTATAAATGAAAAATAATTTGCTATTACAAATTATGTGCTGTTGGGGTTGGATCTGGAGACATATTTCTATAATCCCAGCACTCAAGAGGCTGAGGTAGGAGTGAGGGGAGTTCAGACCAGCCTAGATTATAAGTGAGTTCAAGGTTGGCCTACAGGGCCCGGGGAGATAGCTCAGTAGAATAAGTGCTTGCTGGGCAAGCACAGGGTCCTGAGTTCAATCCCCAGTACCACAAAAAAAAAAAAAAAAAAAAAAAAAAAAAGGTAAGCCTACAGTACATATCAAGACCCTGTCTCAAAACAAAAAAATTACATGGTATGAACTGAAAGAGTGTTGATCTGGTTTCTGAAGCATCACAGCAAGAACTGACGTGTTGGCTGTCATCCTTTGGAAATTTATAGTACTTCTTCTACCCTCACCTTCCACATCTATACAGTGACCTATAGTAAGAACCAGGGATGCCATCCCAGGAGGCAAAGCCTGCTGCCTGAACCCCATGCGGGTGTCCAGCCTCCTCCCTCTGGGCCTTGGGTGCCAGCAGCAGGTGCCAGGCTTACCTTGCTGGGCTCTGCTTCATCAGTCATAACGCCGGTCATGATGACTGCCTCGTCCAGGGAATAGAGCAGCCCCTCCACAAAGTGGTTTTCCAGCCGCTGGGACTCCAGGGTGAATTTGTCACAGATGGCCTCCAGGCCTCGCACCGGCTCAAACCGCAGCTTGACATACTTCTTGGCGGGGACGATTCGGATCTCAGCAGCCACCAGGAATCCCAGGGTCCCGCAGGACCAGGGCACGGCGTAAAATAGGTCTGAGTTTTCGGACTGTGGCACAGAACAAACGCCGGTTCAGGGCATGCCCTGTGGCCAAGGGGCACTGCTGCTCCTACTGCCAGGTATGAATCTGAGCAGGGACCTTCACCACCTGCCCTCAGCACGTCACCCACAGGTTAGGGAAGCACACATCCAGGTGACTCGCCTTACCACCCGCCCAGGGCTTACATGCCCACTCCAGTCCAGGTGGGCGGGTGTTCTTCCCACAGCACCTCCTCTGGGGTGGTAAAGCCAGCTGCTTCCAACTTCCTTCCCACATTCTCAGAGACCAGCCACCGACCTTTTCCTTCAACCATTCTAATTCCAATTCTTGATTCTCAAAAAGCTCCTTTCAACAAAGTCCAGCCGGTCCTGGCTTTGCCAGTGAGTCAGCCCTGTGTGTCCTCTGCCAAGCCTGAATGCCCTTAGTGGTAGGAATGGCGGCGTTAGGGTTTGTGTCTAGAGACCCTGAAGCTTCACGCTGTCACAGGCGGGGCTTTTTTGGAGGTGGCTGGATCTAGAACGTGTGACTGAGTCATGGAGCAATGCTAGCACTTAGGTGGATAATTACTAAATCAGTCCTCTGATTGGTTTGGCATCATCCTAATTCCAGTAGCCTGGACACAATATAAGGGACACAGAAAAGCTTGCCTTTTCCCTTGCTTGCTTTTACTGTCTTTTGCTTGCCATGAACTGGTTTTCCTCTGCAATCCCCCTCTGTCAAGACACCCTGTCTTGCACCCAGCCCATGACAGCCTAAAACCTCTATAAGTCATGAAACCTTTCATCCCTTGTGACACTCAGGTATTTGGTCTCAGCAATTGCTGAGAACAGTGACTAAGACAGGGTTTAGTCTGAGGCTCTGCTGGTGGTAAACAGGCTTGAAGGCAGGGCCCGGGCAGGCGTTCAGGAAATCCTGCTGCGCAGATGAGAAATCGACTGAGGTAGATCTCTCTAAGGCCCCTACTCCCAACAGGACCCCTTTCCTGGGACTCATACCCTCTGTGCAGCCAGAAGCCCAGGAGGTCCCCGAAACAGCCGCTTCCAAAACACAGGATGCCCCTCCAAGCCCAGGCATATGCTAGGGCAGACCTGATTTAGAGCTCTAATTCTGCCCCACTCCTCAGGTAAAATGATTCAAATATTTGTGTCCTACTTTACGTGGCAGAATTATCTTTTCCCAGAGCAGCCTACTTGATTTGGGTTCATAGGGGTTCGACGAGCCCAAGTTCAGTGGCCTGACCCACTCTGGAGAGGCAGCTTGGGGTAACAGATGGCTGAGGACTGGATCCTTGGGTACCTGGTTGAGTCCCTTTATTATCTTGGGACCTAGGCCAGGATTACAAACCCTCTGTGCTCTTACTTTTCTACTGGTGAAGTGGGGATAATAATAGCACTAACTCATAGGTGACTTAAGGTATAAGTGCCTTAACAGATGTACTCAGGAGGGGCACGTAAACTTCTGCTAGCACTCTGGGTACGGATGAACTGGTACATCTTCAGCATGGTCCCTCAGTGGACGCCCTCACCCCTCACTCACCGGTGTGCAGCGCACGAAGCTGCCATCAGCCAGGACCAGCTCGTAGGCGGTACAGATGTGCTGGAACAGGCCATACTTGTGGGATGAAGACTCAATGCCTGTGCCCATGATTAAGCCCCCTGCAGAGACACGTGTGTCAGCCTGGCAGAGCTGTGGTCTCAGGGCAGGGGCGGCAGACATGGGGCTGTCAACTCAGCACAGATTCCTGCTGCAGTCACTGTGGTGAGCAGAAGTGAAGAGGCTGGGCTCACACAGGAGCAGAGGGCCTTGACCGAGGGAGTGGGTGGGCAGGGTCCGCTGGGGTACTCAGCCCCCGCCTCTAGCCAGCTCGCCTGAGAGACCGTGTGCATTCACTTTAAGGGGACTTCAGTGAAAAGGAAGGGTACTGTAAGGGCTGGGAGTGTGACACATGGGGCTGGTTGGAGGAGAGGGTACTTTCCTATATAAGAAAAGGCTTCCCATGAGCCCTGTGAGAAGCAAAGTGGGCCTAGGAGGAACGGAAAGATGGACAGAGTCCTCGGGAAGCAGATCTAAGCGGGAACTTGAAAAGTGCCTTTGAAAACTTGAGCTGCTCAGAGTGGTGGACAGTGAAACTGTCCCCGTGCTAGGTAGGTATGACAGGGTGACTTCTGTCCTGGATGGGAGGGGCCACTTCTGGACCTGGGGCCATCTGACTCCTCCTGCCTTGGATGTGAGTCCTCACCCACTGTGAGGTCGTCGAGCTCAGGCAGCACGGGCAGTGTCCAGCCAATGGAAGTCAGCAGGGCGGTCACCTGACCCATGGACGCCAAGGGCTCCACGCGGACGATCTGCAGACATGAGAGGAGAGACCCCGGTCTCAAGGAGGTGGCTGGGCCTGGCGAGCTGTCCAGCACACAGGTGTCATTCCAAACCTTCCTGAGCACCCAGCACAGGTGTTCCCCAGCTTTCACTGGTCTTGTCTAGAGCACTACACTGCCTTTACCTACTCTGGCAACAGGTTAAGGGTTGAATCAAATCCTTTAAAATACCTTACAATGTACGCTCTATTTTTTTTTTGCTGAACCGGGGATTGAACTCAGACCCTTGCACTTGCCAGGGAAGTGCATATTCTACTGAGACATCTCCCCAGTCCCTGAATGTTCTATTTTTTTTAGATAACAAAAGACATATACATTTGAAAGACTCAGCAACAATAAGGAAGAAAACAAAAATCCGTTCTATTTCTTCAGAATTACTGATGTTAACAATGGAGTGGATTCTTCAGTTTTTTCCATTACACATTTATATATCTCCATTTCTTTTTTAAAAAATGTATTTAGTACAGGGTCTACAGGGTCTCACTACATAGACTGGACTCACAGTGATTCTCCTGTTTTTAGCCTCCCAAGTGCTGGGATTACAAGGATGCACCACCACACTTTCTCAGCACGCCCTGGGGGTAGGGCTGGCACAGAACTATGGGAATCAAACCTTGCTGCACTCTGCCTAAGCAGGCGCTTTAGTCCCCTGAGCTATCTGGTTGGCCCTATATCTCCATTTCTAATTTGTACACTCACAAATGTGTAGTGTGTTGTCCTCCTTTTGAAAAACAACTCTATGACCATCACCTCCTGTCATTTACCTCCTTTTAAAATGTGTGGGTTTTTTTTTGAGACAGGGTCTGGCTATGTAGCACAGGTTGGCCTCAAACTCACAGTGATCCTCCTGCATCAGCCTCCTTAGTACTGGGATTACAGGTGTGCATCA